GGTCACCTTAGCAGCTAAGATTTTCAATAAACTGACAGTACAATGTAATGAATGAAGAGATAGTTATGTGATGACTGACCAAAACATATTTATTCCTGAAAGATGCATATTGGATAAGGTTAGGTGAACAATCATTATCACCTAGTGTAAAAGGCCTAATAAATGCCACTAAGTCGTAATGTCTCCTTGATCTTGATCATCTAGTGAGAGTGCATCTTTCAAATGTATTAAAACATACAAACTGTTAAACTGTCTACAGCACCTAATGGAAAGACAAGATCCTATTGTCTACTATGGGATGGATTAATAACATTTGATACACTTGAGAAAAGACTCCAGCACAAATGGATATGTACTCCCCTTTTTCTGGAAGGAAAGTGCTTTTCATTCACTGCATATACAGATTCAGCAAAAAAGCATGTAAGTCTGTTACATCTATTTGGCAAAGTTTAATAAGATAGGGAAGGGAAGGAAAATAAAAAGAAAACAGCCAGCTCCGTGATCATAATCTTTCCTGATTTTAGATTCTATTTATAATTGACACATTGGTGAAATGTCATTTAGTTCCTCTTCTGTATTTTTCTCCTCGGATCACAACCAAAAATGTAAAGATCACTGAACTGTCAGTACAATACACATGCAACATGTAATTTGCCTCAACAATTCGTAATGAATTGTCTTCATCTGTTTCTGCCAAAGCAATGAGTAAGAAAATAGCATACCAAGTCCTCATAACAAACCACAATGGTGCAAGGGCACTTCTGAGAGCTATTGTTACATCAGTTCTATGTTATTTGTGGAACCGATGACAGTATATAAATCTGTTTCATGATAAAAAAAGAATTCTCTGACAATGCAGCACAAGAAACAGTAACACTGCAAATTACGAAGAGAGTCATTGTTAAATATGAACAGTGTCATCAATCTTTTTTTTTAATAAAAAAACTATTAAGAGTTCATGTTCTTGAATATCAAGGATAAAACACACTACCTTTGCCAAAGTCAAATGAGAACTTGTCCTTTCTGTCCCGGCTTGAGTCAAACTTTGTGCCATCTAAAAGCCACCCTGTATAGTGAACAGTCACTTTATCACCTATCATTGGAAATTCCGTTCCTGTACCTTCTTTCTTGATAACCTGTGAGAAGGAGAGAACAAAACAATATCTAAATTTAACTAGGAAATTACACTACCTTGAGAGGAAAAGTCAGGTTTGTCAGAGAGGAGAAAACAAATACCAAGAATTACACTTTGCTACTTCTTCTTCTTCTTCTTCTTCTTCTTCTTCTTCTTCTTCTTCTTCTTCTTCTTCTTCTTCTTATTATTATTATTATTATCATCCCACCCCTCTGCAGACCAATCGGGGAGGCTTACAACATTAAAATTTCCATACAATTTCCATAAAATTTCTTGAATGTAATATACAGTCCACGCTTACAATTTCTGCTCTATAAGAACAACAATGATTTCATTGACCCTCCTCATTGATGGATTTAACATTCACAGACTTGATTATTCATGAGTTTGTCTAGAGAAGGCAGTAAGAAGGGATGAAAGCAAACTAGAGAGAAAAAAAAGAAAAAGTGAGTTCTTTCCCTTCACATGAGCCCTGGCCATGGGAGAAAGAGGGAGAGAGGACAGTCAGAGAAAGAATGAGACATGGGGGGGGGGGGGGGG